AGCTAGGGCTGCGGGCCAGCCCTGGTTTAGCCCTAAGGTAGGGCCCCGAAGGTGGCACTAGATGCCCTCGGACCTCTGCATTGCGTGACCCTAATCACAACCAATGTTCCCGAGTGCGCCGCGCTCTACCAAGTGTCCTACCAAGTGCGGTGATGATAACAGAAAGGACACTGGTACCAGGTCTCGATAGGCACACCAAGCACTGTTCTGAGCACCGTGTGCATTATTTAGTTCATTCTCACAACCCCACAAGGTCAGGGACATTCAGTGTCCCCATCCGTAAGCAAGGACACTGAGCTACTGGGTGATTAGATACCTTGTCTCTGACCTGCGGTCAGGCGAGGGCACAGCCATTGGCCAAGCCGTTACGATGTTTGCCCCTATGCACAGCAGGCAGAGCCCAGCACTCTTTCCTCTCCGCTTTCTTCCTCTGCTCATGACTGTCATCATCATCATTTCCATTTCACAGATGAGAAAACCAAAATGTCAAGAGGCACAAGGACAAGGCTGGTGAGGCAGGAGCAGGGATCGGGGGGTTTGGATACTGGCGTGTAGATTCCCACCCTGGGGTTAACGGTAGAGACGGCGGAAGTTGGTTCTGCTCACGTGTGGGCGCCGCCCGGCCACCCCGGCTCTGCTCGCTGCCGCTGTGGCGCCAATAGCTGTTGACGACAGGGCTGGCGGAGCAGGGAGGGTTCTCATGCAAGGTGGGGCCGTGAACTGGGGTAACGTGGGGGATTGGATGACCTGCGATTCAGGGTCACCTCGATCCTGGCACTGTCTCTGCGTTTGCACTTAGGAGGCAGCTTAGTGTCAACCTTCCGAGCACGAACGTTGGGATATCGTGTTCAAGACAGACCTGGCCTTGAATCTCAACTCTGCCAATTTCTAGCTGTGTAGACTTGGGCAAATCATGCAAGTCTTTCAGGGCCTCAGTTTCCATGTCTGAGAAATGGCAAAACTACCAAGGTCAGAGGAGTGCTGTGAAGACGAGCAAAGTCACGCACTTGAAATGCGTTGCAGGGTGTCAGCCTCATTGTCCGCACTCAACCCGTGGTAGCTATAGATGGTAATAACGTCTCTCCCGGCAAAGCAGCCTCAGCGTTTAGCCTTCAAATTCAGAAATCCACTTTATTAGGAGGAAGTGATGGTGGGTTGAGTCCTTTCAGAGAGAGATAGCTTTCCCAGCCTAACGGCCACACGTGTGCATCCTGCCCCAAGTTCTGTTCAGTTCAGTTCCAGCCCAGGCAGGCTGGCCTCCCAGCCCCGGGTCTCCAGGGAGGGAAGTGCAATGGCATCCCAAAGGGGACCATCCTCTGAGCTTCTCCACTCAGTTTCCTCACACCCTCCGTGTTAGCCGTGTCATTCCCGGTTCCTGCTCCCAGAATATCTGCCCCTAAACCCGGCTGTGGACACGAGGCCCTGTCGGCAGCCCTGCTGTGGACATCGCAGCACTCACACCAAGCTAGGTTTGCTAGGTCCTCGCTCCGTTCCTCGCTCAGCTTCTGTGTCTGCCCTTGCACCCTCCCACTTCTGGGTCATCTGTCTCCTTTGGAAACCCATCTGGCCAGACAGTCTCAATCTTGATCTCATTCTCCATGAGCATCGTGTTCCGGATAGGAATTCAGGTTACAAAGCCAACCTCTAGCACATTTATGATCTTCCACTGGATACAGACTGGTGCCATCCCTTGCTTGTGAGCCTGCATACCCCTGCCCATACAATACAGTGGGCTTTTGGAGGGCAGAGCCTGAGAGTATGTTGTTGTCTCCACCAGGGCAGAACACACTGTGTGGCATAGCCCAGGCTAAGGCTCCGTAAATCCTGATGCAAAAGTAAACTGTGTAAGTCCAGGATTCTGAAGTTGAGCTAGTTTATAATTCAGGCTTCGGTCTTTACTAGGCATACGACCTTGAGCAAGTCACTTACTGTCCTCAAGCCCCCATGTACTCATCTTCAAAATGATGAAAATAATAGTACACACCTCCAGGAACCATTGTGAGGATTAACTGAGCTTTTGAGTACGAAGGGCTTAGTTTAGCAAAGTGCTAGTAAGCACTTAAAAATGTTACCTGCTATTACTACTGCTAGTTTTGCTTTGTTTTTATTAAAGTGATTTCACGTTGTTTTTTATTCAGTTGTTTTTCAGCACCACCTTGCAAAGTGTAATTGAAGCAGATACAGTTTCCATTTTACCAGTGAGTAAAGTGAGACTCAGAGAAAGGCTGTGTTTTCTCAACCCACACAGCTGGACTTGCCCAGCCTCCCCTGTGGGTGCACCTAGAAGCAGGCTGCACTGTTTTGGAACATGACATGCTCACAGTCCTGGGGAAAGATTCCTATAATTTAAAAACGCAGCTATGGTATTCAGCCAGACCCAGTGTTAACAATTATTCAGATGATCGTTTTTCTCTTGGAGGAGAAAAGCTATGATTTATTAAGCAAACTGGCTCTTCGCCTCCAGGAGTGATGTCAAGTTTTACTTCCATTTCGCTGCTCTACCCGGAGAAGACACAAAATTGGAGAACAAAATCTCTTATGAGATTTACTGTATTATTAATGTATTGTGCAGTAGAAAGGAACCTCAGATGGCACGTGGGGGCTGTGACCGGTGGGTGTACTAACAGGGACAGAGAAGGAAGGAATTATGGATCCAGAACAGGAAAAATAAGTGTATAACTGTGATTTGTTTGACCGGAATTTGTCCTAATCTGTGCTCTAGCTGGAGCGGAGAGACATTTTTCTTGCCACTGAGTCTCCTGGGTTAAGCCCAGCAGTTCCCTGCTTGGGTCCTGCGTTGGTGCTAGAGACTGCCAGTCGGATGGATAGAAACGTTGGGATGGGTGGCTGGGGTAGGATGAGAGGAGGTCAGCTTGGTTGTGGGAACAGTGAACCCAGAGTCTAGGGCCCTTGGCCCATGGTCCAGCTGTGCTGCTGTCCAGCCGTCTGGTGGAGGAGCCACTTCTCCAGGCCTTGTTTTCCTTAAGTGTGATCTTGGTGAGTCACGGGAGCTCAATATGCACTCACATGAGCTCACCAATGAGGACTATGTCTGATTTGTCTTTCTTGTGTGGTGCATATTCATGAACACAGTTCACAGATGCTTCTGTGGTGAGAGTTTCACTGTTTTTAATTGGAGTCAGTCTTGGAAGGGCTGGGGAAGTGGAGAAGCAATGTAGAAAGAAGCATGACAACAGGGCATGGTTGAGAAGAGAGCTTCAACATGGCATTTCAGGAAGGGTGGCCAGGGTCATGTTAACATCAAAAAGCAAAGGACATCTAAGTAGCACCGGGCTATTCCTAGGATCATTGGCACAAAGACAGTGGGGCAAATGCCTTCTCTGTGTTCCCAGTGCTGGGGGGCGGGGGTCTAGTGTTTAAGATAAGCCCCATATTGCAAGCTCGCCAATTGGGGATTGGAATACAGTGCAATCACTGACTTATTTATTTTTTAAGCCAACTCAAGACCAGGGAAAGAATTTGTTTAGGATTATGTGTTGACCCAAGAAGAAGAGTCTTAGGCTTTAATCGAAGATCACAGGTAGCTATAGGTGCCAGGCTATGGAGTTGGACATCTAAGGCTCAGTTAAGAGCACGTCTCCACATTTAGTTTAATTCCCAGATTTCCCCCTTATGTCTTATGGCATGGAACAATTGCAATATATAGCTCTGCATATGCGTAGCTACATGCAGGTTTTTTTTGTGATGATTATCAACTATTTAGTGAAATGTAGCATGCATAAGACTCGAACTTGGTTACAGGCTCCTGCTAAGTTTATAAATCAGCCACATCCCAACTGCTGCTCTGAGATTCATGTGCTTATTCACCCATTCATTCATTGATTCACCAGTCTTCATTTAGTGCCTGCTGTATTCATACAATAGCCACTGCAGGTGAGGGTGTGACATATAATGATGTCCCTAAGAGGTTTGGTCTAGAGAGAGCACCTGACAGTAGGATTCAGGTGATGCCTAGTGCTTAGAAAGTTCTTGCTAAATGAAAGAACAAATGAATAAACACATGAGTGAAGCCATAGGCACCCCAAGGGAGGGCCCCTAACCCAACTTTGGATGGGGGTGTGTCAAAGAAAACTTCTTAGAAGTGTAAATCCTGAATCTTTTGGGTCACTCCCTCATTCAAGAAATAGCAATTGACTTTCTCCCACATGCCAAACAGTGTGCTGGGCTGTGCAGACAAAAGTGGTAAGCAGGGTAGACATGCCCTGGTGATGGGAGGGAGGAAGGCCCAGGTTACAGTTGACAAGGATCCCACTGGCTACTGCTAAGAGAAAGGGGTGGATCTGGAGGAAGAGGTAATAGCAACACTAGTTAGGAGGCTGTGGCGGTGAGCACCTGCCTTAATTCTCATTTCAGACAATGGGCTAAAAAGGAAGAGTTGCCTTCCTATAGCTTTCCGTTCCCAGCCCTTGAGCTCAGCCCTAACTGCTCAGACTCTGGCCACTTTCATGTTTCTTCCATGTAAACATCCTGCCCCCATCAGCAGGCGCCAAATAGAATCTGTTTATAGTCAACAGTACACTTGGTTTCCAGAGCCAGACAGAGGCAGACCTTTAAATAACTCTGGGCTCAGTCACTAAATCGTGTTGATTTTGCCTCTAAAATAGCTCTCAAATCTCTCCCACTCTGCCTTTTGCCCAAGGCCCTGCCTTCTGGCCCTCATTATCTCTGGACAGTCACCAACATGTTTGGAAGAAATTCAACCCTTTCTCACTAACAAGGAAGCTTATCATTTTTCCAGGGTTGTAAAGATACCTTGGTGATTGTATCAGTTAGCTTTCTCTGCATAACAGACAGCCCCAATCTTAGGGCTTTAAAATAGCAAGCGTTTATTATTTCTCCTGACTCTGTGGGTTGATGGGCATTTCTTCTGGTCTTGTTGGGGCTTGGCAGAGGCTGGATTGCCTATGATGGCCCCACCCACAAGCCTGCGCCTGGGATGCCTCTCTCCAGGTGGTTTCTCCTCCTGCGGGAGGTTAGCTCAGGCCTGCTACTGTGGCTGCAGAATGACTCTCAGCAGCCAGAGGGGAACTTCTAGGCATAAGCACTTTGTAAGCCTTATTTGTACCACATTTGCATGTTGTGCCATTGGGCAAAGTAAGTAACAAGGCCAAGCTCAGATTCAAAGGGTGGAGAAATAGACTCCACCTTATGTTGGAAGGGCAGGCAAAGCCACGTGCAGAGGCGTGTGCATGGACGTGGCCTGGCAAATCACAGCCATTGCTGCACTAATGGCTACCATTACAATGAAGACTTTGGAACCAGCAGGAATGGAGATGTTCTCTGTGGTAGCCTGTTCCCAGCCACTTACTGCCCTTGTCATCCTGGGCAAGTTGACTCACCATAAGCTCTCCAGCCTCTCCTGCCCAGCCACCATATGGGACAAAGTGAGGCCACCTCAGTGATGCCAGGGGAGGATCAGATGAGGACATGCACAGTGTGCATGCCTTAGGGATTGGGACCCAGCCAGAGAGCTCCTGCTGATCTTCCTACTCTCCAAAGAAGCCTTCAGAAGCTGGTTCTTAGTGGTCTCAGCCTGATTTATCCCTCCTCCCTGATCTCACGCTTTTATTAATACATTCACATTGTGCATATTTCTTTTTCCTTGTCCCTGGAGACACTTTTCTCAAGTTTTGTGTTTTTTGCCAAGCAGATCTCACTAGCACCTATTCAAGGAGCTGCTTAAAACGTCACCTCCTCTTTAAATTCTTCTTCCAGGCTGATTTGGCCATTGCCTCCTCAGCTGCCCTCAATGTCGCTCGCTCACCTCCTTGTATCGCCTTGCCCTGAACTGTTTCTGCGTTTGCCTGTTTTCTCCGCCAGGCTGAGCTCCTTGAGGACAGAAGTTATGATTTACTGACTTCCTGTCCTGGCTTGTGGCGGGCTATGCCTGGAACAGAACAGGTGCTTGTTTAAAAAATATTGATGTATAAATAATTGGGTGAGTGAGTGGAACAAATGGGTGAATGTCTTTTCATTATCTTGAGTCATCTTAAAAAGGCGGTGGATGAACTAAATGCCAAAACTGACTTAGATGTTTGTCCTCTTCCCTTCTAGCTGATACCACCTTCAGACCCCCAACTTCCTGAACTGGAAATGCCAAGGAGAGGGAATTAGTGCCTCCAAGACCTGTAGTGAGCAAACACTTTGAGCTTTTTGGCCAGGCCAGCCCCAGCGGTGGACCAGAGATGCACGTCACTCAGCCTATTGAGGTAAGTGACTAGTCCGTCCACAGCACGAGGGGGGTGTGCTGTCTTTTCTGGTTTCTTCTGTGGGTTACATTGCAGAGGAAGGGCGGATGTTCCCTGTTTCTTGGTCTCCTTGTGACGAGGCCTGCCTCTCCCAGAGATAGCCCATAAGGAGGAGGGCCCGTGGAAGGGAAATACATCCTCCCTCGGGGGAAAAATGCAGACCTGTTGGAGTATCAAGCAGCCTCTCTTTTTCTTAAAGGGAGAGCTTTTTGAGCTCTCACGAACACTGGTGAATGAAACCTGGACTGGGAGCATCATTTGACGACAAGAGCTTATCATCCCCAAGAAGCCCTGGTGTTTCCTAGAGCAAGCATCGGCAGACTGTGGCCTACGGGACAAGTCTGGCCTGGCCTATTTTTAAATAAAGCTTTGCTGGCACGCTGCCATGCTCATTTGTTCAGGTATTGTCTGTGGCTGTTTTCACACCGCAACAGCCGAGTTATTACCACTGAGAGTGTAGCGTGGCTGAAAAGCCTGGAATATTTACTCCCTGGTCCTTAACTGGAAAAGTGTGCCAACTCTGGTCTAGACCTGAGCTGTCTACATGGAGCCGCTCCATATGGGGCTATTGCAATTTTAATTAGTTAAAATGAAATAAAACCAAAAATTCAGTTCTCAGACATGCTTACTACATTTCACATGCTTAGTAGCCAACATGTGACTCAGTGTGTTTATTGCTACTGGGGTAGCATTGCTTCTGGGCTGTCTAGGAAGTGTATGTGTGTGTGTGTGTGTGCACAGGTGTGAGATATCCACAGTATACACACCATCCACAGTACACATATCATCCAGATCACTTCTAAACTGACCTATCTGTATATCAAAACCACCATGAGTTCACACTGATGACGCTGGAACATTCGTGAGATTCATGTCTGTGTGACGACGGTGAACAGTCACTCTACTCCCACTCTCAGCACCACCACTAGCCACCATGTTTACTACACTATGATCAGGCCAGGTTCTGGACCCTTTCCCTTGCTGATATTGCTATAGTAACATGAACCCAGTGGCCCAAGTGGAGATGATGAAACCAGGACTCTGAAAAGCTAATTAACTTGTGCAAAGCAAAATTAACTTGTGCTATTAAAATGGCAGTCTTACAGTCAGCACCTCTTACAGTGAGCTGCCTGTCAGTTTTTGATCAAAAGGCCCAGGGAGACACCACTGTCCCAGGAGAAAAACTAGAGCAGGAGGTGGGGGAAACGTTTGTCCCCACTGACCAGAGGTCTCTGGGTGTCCTGGCAGAAGGCCAGCCAAAACATGATGATGGACACCACACCCTTCATTGCCCGGGAGCCACGTGTCTGCTCTGCATTGCTCTGACGGAGTCCTGTAAGGGAGTGTGTGCAGGAGCACGTGGCAGTGAGTGAACATGCTTATGCATGTGCGTGTTTCCATGGGGGTAAGGGCCGCTGTTCTGTGCTTGCAAAGAAGTTGATCCGGCCGAGGGTGTAATTACAGAACTGGGCCTCTCCGCAGAGGGAGCATTTCATCTCTTGCAGTGGAGTTTTTTGAGAGAGCTGTTTCAGCGTGGAGGCCTTAAACACATTTGTATCCCCAGATCCCAGCAGAACATGCACAGAATGTGCACTTGATCATGCTGGCTTCATGCAGGCATTCACAGATGCTTCTGAGTTTCTTCACTGGGCCAGGCACTGTTCTAGTCTGACAAAGGTCCTAGCCAGGGATGTGGAGGGGGAAGAAATCCCCAGCAAACAGGGAAAAATATAAATGTGAGAGGCAGGGGCAGGGGGGCTGGGGGAGGACACAGCATGGGTGTGCTGATGGGGGGTCTCCAGGAGATGTTTCTGGAACCAAGTCACACTGCTGATAGGAGAGAACAGCAGGGAGGCTGCAGATCACAGGACAGGCAGGGACTGATTTTCTCCCCTCCTGGGGGCTGTGGCCTCCCACTAAGAGCCAGGCCTGCTTTCCTCCCTGGCAGAGTCACAGGCGTGGACACTGTCTCTCAGAACTCAAGCATTTCCTCCAACAGAAAGAAATGTTATCAGCTGGCCCAGAGGGAAGGACAGCAGGCTGGAGCATTCTGATTAGATAAGAGGACATCCTGGCCATCATTAGATATGCAAATGGTGGTGGCAGTGAGGAGCTGGTGCTGATAACCTTTAAGAAAAGAGCAACAGTTGCAGAGACAGGTAGACTTGAGCATTTGAAAGGCTAGCAGGAGGGGGAGTCTTAACTTATACAGGGTGATGTTAAGGACAGATCCAAATGGAGTGAATGGAGTGAAGAGGGAGAGAGCTTCCCATGCTGGCTGTGATTTGCCTTCCTTGTCATTCATTCATTCGTTCATTCAGCAAATACTCATTGGGTGATTTCCAGGTCCCTGGCATTTTTCGGAGCACTGGAGGTCAAACGGGATAGGACAAGCGCTATGTCCTCAAGATGCTAATAATTTAATGGGAAAAACAGACACATTAACAAACCAGTGGAATATGCAGGTGCAGTTCTGGTTCTGTAGGGCCCAAAGCTTGTACAGTTTGGGAGTCTTCTTTAGGGAAAAAATAATATAAATTTATAAATTTAAAATAAAATGCAAGCCCTAGATAAGTGGGGTGTAGCTGAGGAGCTTGGGGGCTTAGTAGGGAGAATTCCTTCTCTCTCGGGGTACCTAGTGCCTATTGGGATGAGCTGGGCACAAGGGGGTTGTGTCCTGCCAGAGGCAGTGGGAATACTGGTACTCTGTAGTAGGAGGGACTTAGTCCTCATCTGGGTCCTCTGAGTCCTTGTTCTTGGGCTAAAGGAATAGGGCTAAAGAGCTCTGGCCTTAGCACTGCTGGGTGGCTGACCTAGTGGTCCCACTTGTGGGACTGCATTCTAAGGAATCAGCTGAACTGGTCATGTAGGCTGGTGGAATGCTTGCAAGACCAGTGTGGGTCAGATACTTTTCTAACAGCCTCACACACATTGATATGTTTAACCCCTGCAGCTGCCTTGGGAGCTAGCTGCTATCATTTCCCCATCATTTACAGATGATGGAACTTGAGGCACAGAGTGGTTAAGTAACCTACTAATTGTCACATAGCTGATAAACACAAGAGCTGGGATTTAAAGGCATTTGGCCTATCTCCAGAGCCCCATCCACTTTCTGCCTAATTTTATAGCAATCTACTAGAAACACCCTGAAGGGCCAAGATTAGGAGATTGTTTAAATGAAATACAGCCATAGAATGGAATAATGTGTGTTTGGTCCATGCAGAGTTTCTATTGGCATGGTAAAATGCTTTGGTTATGAAGGATGAAGGTGGAGTGCCTAATATTATGTGTGCCCAGAGACAGCAAGACTAAGAGCTAACAATGCTTGAATTCCCTGTCCATATTTTGTGCCCTTTCCTGGACAGCTGTAATAGGCTAATTCATTCACACGTCCATTCAACAGGTTTTTATTGAGTGCCTGACACTGGGGATAGAGCATCAAAGAATAGACGTGTGGTTTCTGTTGTCATGGAGCTTACCGGCCAGCCTGCTCTTTGCTCTCTGCCTACACTTTTTCCCTCTATAGCGCACGAGATCTGTCTTCCAGAAGCCCTCAGTGGTTCCCCGGGACCCTCAGACCCAGCACCCCCACCCCTTGGCACCTGTTACCTCATTTGTCAAATGGACCAGGGGACCCACAGACCTTCCACACTTCCAAGTGTAGGTTCTGCTCAGTTGCTGGCCAGAGGCTTTGCAGTCCTAAGTCTCACCATTACCATCTTCTGGAAAGGTCGAGCCCAGCCAGTTGAAACCACGGCAGCTAGCAGCAGGAAGTGCTTTCCCTGGACACTCTGAGGTCTAGCCCTGGTTGACAGCTGGGCCAGAGGGAGGAAGCAAGGGCGCTGGATTCATAAGAAAAAACTTGGAGATGATTCTGCTGCTTGCCAGCTACATGATCTTAACCTGCTGGGTCTTGTTTTCGTGATAAAATGGGGCCAATCCCACGCCCCAGGGGAGATGGACTACGCAGGGATGTAAAAGCTGTAGTGAGTTTGAGAAAGTGGGCCTGGAGTTACAAGCCTGGCGCTCTCCCATCCACTTCTCCCCAGATCTTGGAGCTTGCGGGAGTATTCCACTTCCCTGAGACTCAGTTTCCCCATCTTGTAAGAGAGGAGGTAATAAAATAGTACCTACTTGCTAGGGTTTTGTAAGGGTTAAATGACATGATGACTCAAAAAGCTGGGCTCGGTGCCTGGCTCATAGTAAGTGCTGAGTAAATTACAGGCATATTTGTCACTGTGATTTATAGCTGAGCCTCACGGTGCAGGACATGATGAGCTGCAAGGACAGGAGCCAGGGTCTCCCTCCCTGTCGGCTCGGGAGGCTGGCTGGCTGCAGCAAAGACATTGAAAGAATGGCCTTTCCAGGGTGAGCCACTCTAGCCAGGGATGCCTTGATGACAACAACAGTGTCACAGGAAGAGAGGGACCACCAGAAGCCACTATGGAAATTTTCTGTGTGCTTCTAGAAGCCAAACCCACAGACTGATCCCTTCTTAAAGGCTAATTTTTGTTCTAGTCATGCCTAGCTGATAAGCATTTGGGCATTGACAGGTAACCTTTGTTCCTGGAGAGCATCCTTTTATGTCCTTCCTCCTTTCAATGCCCATAGCTCTTGTGGCCTGGGACAGAGTGTAGAGCCTATAGGAGGACAGACAAGGCTCACCATGACCTGGGCCACCCCCAAGACCCCACCCTACCGGCTGCTAATCACAGAGTCCTCACAGTATGGACCCTGAAGTTAGGTGGCCTGAGTTCCAGTCACACCGCTGCTTCTTACCGTGCCACCCTAGTCACAGTGCACTCTCTTAATCTCGGTTTCCTTGTCCACAAGATGGACAGAATAGATAATGGCACTAATCTTGAGGATTGCATAAGTTCACACGGGCATACCTCTGCAATATTTCGGGTTCCATTGCAGACCGCTGCAATAAAGCCAATATCACAATAAAGCAAGCCACA